TGCTCTCTTGCTTGGTCTGCAGACTGGATACACAAAGTACTGCTGTTTTCTCTGCGAATGGGATAGTCGTGCAAGAGATTCCCACTACATCAAGAAAGATTGGCCACTCCGACAGTCATTGGAGCCTGGGAGGAAAAGTGTTCAGCATCCACCACTTGTTGAATCAAGGAAGATTTTGTTACCACCCTTACACATCAAGCTGGATCTGACGAAGAACTTTGTCAAGGCCATTGACAAAACACAAGCAGCTTTCAAGTACCTCCGTGGAAAATTTCCAAGGTTAAGTGAAGCTAAGATAAAGGAAGGTGTCTTTGTTGGTCCTCAGATTCGTGAACTTCTTTGAGATGATGCATTTGACCATGCAGTGCATGGCAAGGAAAAGACGGCATGGAAAGCCTTCCAGTTAGTGGCAATAAATTTTCTCGGAAACAACAAGGCAGACAACTACAGGTTGTTGGTGGAAAACCTCCTCAAGGCATACAAAATCCTTGGTTGCAACGTCACTAAAGATACATTTTTTGTACTCTCATCTAGATTTTTTTCCACCGAACTGCGGAGCAGTGAGCGACGAGCACGGCGAGCAATTTCACCAGGACATTGCAACAATGGAGAAACGCTATCAGGGCAAATGGAGCCCATCAATGCTTGCAGACTATTGCTGGACAGTGACAAGAGATGCTCCATTTAATGAATACAAGAGACAAGCCAAGAAGCGCCGAGTAGACACTGAATAGGACTAGACTATGTACATAATAGTTTTTTGCCTTTTGTTTCATAATAAATTTTATTTATATAACCCTTTTGCTGATTTTTAAAGTGTTACATAAACAGGACAGGTGAAATATTATCATGCAAAGCAACCATAAACACATGAAAAGACCTAGGTTTACAATTTATGATTAAAACTCTACTATCTAGACAATATACATAGACATAAAATGTAAAAACTTAAATATCTTAGAAACAGTAGCCAAGCAGTTGTTTTAATTGTCATATTTGAATTCAGCACATCAAAATACATAATAAATAGCACATTTTATCTCTGAAGCAGACGACTTCTCAAAAATTGTAGACCAGTGTAATGTGCTCTCTGCTTAGAAAAGGGCTGGCCTCAGATGAGAGGCCCTACCAAAATGCTGAGTACCCTGGAGAGTCCCCTCTAAACCAAAGACACGCTCTCTTGCAAACTGCAGCTCCTTCCTAACCCATTGGCATTTCTGTAGAGCAGTGGTTCTCAAACTTTAGCAACCTGAGGATCCCCGTTTTGATTTAAAATTTTTCAGAGATTCCCAAATCCCCCACTCAGCCCCGGGCCTCACCCCCTCTCCAACGGTGCCCCTCTTCCACACCTCTTTCCACCCCCTCCCCGAAGCATGCCCTGTACTTGCACCTCCCCCTCCTTCCCAGTGCCTCCTGTATGCCCTTGCGCACCCCAGTTTGAGAAATGCGGCTGTAGAGTATTTCATGTGGCCCGCGCCCTGTCTGTTCTGTGGCAAGCTTGGCCTAACTCCTGTGAGAAGGCCTTGAGGGATGACAGTGCTGAATCCCACAGTGCCCTAGGAGGCAAGTGGGTTGAATGTAAGGTGAACAGGCCAGCCTGTGACGATAGTTTGGTATAATCTCCATTGCAGGAGGTCTTGATTTACTCTGCCCTCTAGTGTCTTGTGTGCTGCGGCATGCTGTACTTGCACTGCGTGGGGACTGACGTGGTTGCAGAGGAAGCAGGAGTGTGTGTGGCTCCCACTCGTGTGTGTATACCCTGTATCCGTGCAGCAGAGTTGGGGACCGTTAGGCTGGGAGGCAGTTTGGGCGTTTGCCACCCGAGTTCAGTGGAGGTTTTGGCACTGGGGTGGGACTGCATAGAATCATAGAATATTAGGGTTGGAAGAGACCTCAGAAGATCATCTAGTCCAATCCCCTGCTCAGAGCAGGACCAACACCAATTAAATCATCCCAGACAAGGCTTTGTCAAGCCTGGCCTTAAAAACCTCCCTAGGTAACCCTTTCCAGTGCTTCACCACCCACCTAGTGAACTAGTGTTTCCTAATATCCAACCTAGACCTCCCCCACTGCAACTTGAGACCATTGCTTCTTGTTCTATCGTCTACCACCACTGAGAACAGCCTACCTCATTCCTCTTTGGAACCCCCCTTCAGGTAGTAGAAGGCTGCTATCAAATCCCCCCTTACTCTTCTCTTCTGCAGACTAAATAAGACCAGTTCCCTCAGCCTCTCATAAGTCATGTGCCCCAGCCCCCTAATCATTTTTGTTGCCCTCCACTGGACTTTCTCCAATTTGTCCAAATCCCTTCTGTAGTGCGGGGACCAAAACTGAACGCAGTACTCCAGGTGTGGCCTCACCAGTGCCAAATAGAGGGGAATAATCACTTCCCTCGATCTGCTGGCAATGCTCCTACTAATACAGCCCAATAGGCCGTTGGCCTTCTTAGCAATGAGGGCACACTGTTGACTCATATCCAGCTTCTCATCCACTGTAATCCCCAGGTCCTTTTCTGCAGAACTGCTGCTTAGCCAGTCGGTCCCCAGCCTATAGCGGTGCATGGGATTCTGCCTTCCTAAATGCAGGACTCTGCACTTGTCCTTGTTGAACCTCATCAGATTTCTTTTGTCCCAATCCTCCAATTTGTCTAGGGCACTCTGGACCCTATCCCTATCCTCCAGCGTATCTACCTCTCCCCCCAGCTAAGTATCATCTGCACATTTGCTGAGGGTGCAATTAATCCCATCATCCAGTTCGTTAATAAAGATGTTGAACAAAACCAGTCCCAGGACCTGGGGCACTCCGCTTGATACCAGCTGCCAACTAGACATCGAACCGTTGATCACTACCCGTTGAGCCCAACATTGTAGCCAGCTTTCTATCCACTTTATAGTACATTCATCCAATCCATACTTTTTTAACTTGCTGGTAAGAATACTGTCATCACACTGTATCAAAAGCTTTGCTAAAGTCAAGATATATCACATCCACCACTTTCCCCATATTCACAGAGCCAGTTATCTGATCATAGAAGGCATTCCGGTTGGTCAGGCATAACTTGCCCTTGGTGAATCCATGTTGACTCTTCCTAATCATCTTCCTCTCTTCTACCTGCTTCAGAATGGACTCCTTGAGGACCTGCTCCATGATTTTGCCAGGGACCGAAGTGAGTCTGTAGTTCCCCGGGTTCTCTTTCTTTCCTTTTTTAAATATGGGCACTATATTTGCCTTTTTCCAATTGTCCGAAACCTCCCCTGATCACCACAAATTTTCAGAGATAATGGCCAATGGCTCTGCCATCACATCAGCCAACTTCCTCAGCTTTTCTAAATAGTCCTTAACCAGTTCTTTCACCACTGAGGGCTGCTCACCTTCTCCCCATACTGTGTTGCCCAGTGCAGCAGTCTGGGAGCTGACCTTGTCTGTGAAGATCGAGGCAAAAAAAGTGTTGAGTACTTCAGCTTTTTCCACATCATCTGTCACTATGTTGCCTCCCCCATTCAGTAAGGGTCCCACACTTTCCCTGACCACCTTCTTGTTGCTAACATACCTGGAGAAACCCTTTTTGTTACCCTTCACATCCCTTGCTAGCTGCAACTCCAATTGTGCCCTGGCCTTCCTGATTACACCCCTGCATGCTCTAGCAATATTTTTATACTCCTCCCTAGTTATCTGTCCAAATTTCCACTTCTTGTAAGCTTCCCCTCCTCCTCTCTCTAGGTGAACATGGCAGCAATCATTGACATTTTGGGATGGAGGGGGAACAGATCGAGGACCTTGTTTCCTTCTCCCTGCCCTACCAGCCTGTGACCGCTTCCTGCCTCCCTACTATACCCCTGCATCCACTAAAGGTGGCTAGGCACAGCTCTGCAGGTTTCTGCCAAAATGATCAGCAGCGAAGCGGTTATTGACATTTAAATAGCCATCATTAGGTATCAGAGCTCTCACTTCCCAGAGAGGAACTGTTCACACCTCTCTGAGCTCTTGGTTAAGGCTTCTGTAGAGTCAGGAGAACAGAGCTGCCTCAGTTTGTGTCTGGTTCGTACCTGGGAAGTTCCTTTCACACCCCGAAGGGTTGGAGAGTGATTTAGTTTTGTTAATGAAAGCTTAGGCCTGGTCTACACTATAGACCTATAGCGATATAACTGCGTGGCTCAGGGGTGTTAAAAATCCACCCTCCTGAGCGACACAGATGTACCGACCTAACCCTCCGTGTAGACAGTGCTATGTCAGCGAGTGGTGGATTAGTTACACCAGTGGTTCTCAACCTTTTTTCATGAGAGGATCCCTAAAAATTTTCACATGGAGGTGTGGACCCCTTTGGAAATCTTAGACAAAGTCTGCTGACCCGCAGGGGTCTGCGGACCACAGGCTGAGACCCACTGAACGACACCAATGGGAGAAGCTGTCTTGTTGGCATAGGAGCGTCTTCACTGGAGCACTACAGCAGGCAGCTGTGCCGATGCAGCGTTTGAAGTATAGACCTGCCGTGGATTGTGTCTCTCGGGTCAGTGGTGGAGTAGGGTCCTTGCCTTGGAATCGTTGAGAGCTCAAGGTCCTGGATGTATTCTAAATCTCTTCCTTTGCTTCCTCTCTTCTGTCCATGACTGTGACCTGGATCACTTAAGAGCCTCATGTTAATCTACTAGTTAACATTTGTCCACAGTTCTTCCATATAAGTTGAGGAGTGTGTTTCTGGGTTAGTTTAACTCTTGAGGGGAGCTATAAGGCTCTGCAGCCAGCAACAAGAATTCACTTTGCTGCAGTAATTGCCCTGAATTGCACAGCTTGGAGTCGTCTTCATGCGAGTACAAAATGGAATTTGTAAGTCAAAATATCCCCCTTTCAGAGCTGTGTGTTTCCTGGGCCTCGCAGGTAGGAACATGGCTGCAGCCAAGTGCAGAGCTCTGAAACCATTGCAGACTTGCTGGGCTTTTCTTGCCTTGCCATTGGGTTGAGCTGGCAAATGGATCTTGTATCTCTCATTCTGTTCTGTGCAGGTGGCCTGTGTCTTTGAATCCAACAGTTTTTTCAGCGCCTCCCGTGACAAGACAGTCATGATGTGGGAGCTACACAGGAACTCGGGGCCGAGCCAGCACTTCCCAGGACATGACTTGGTTGTAACTGGACTGGCGGTGAGCCCAGGTGAGGCCCAGCTGACTCCTACTGCTGGCAGCTGCAGTAATGCTGGTTTCTCTGCCCTCTCGTACATAAAGTCATTGTGGTTGTAGACTCTTTACAGCTGTGCACAGGTTCACGGGACAACACCATGTGCAAGTGGGACATAGAGACCGGGGAGTGTCTGCGGAGAGCTGCCATCTCCAGGAATCTGGTAAGAGCAGATGTCCCTGTTTGCCCTAGAATGGGAGCTCCCTACCCACTGGCTCGTGTGCCTGTGAATCTATGCAAAGGGGAAGCTATTTTTGCTGCTGCCCTAGCAGCGATGCAGTGGTTTCCTTGTGCATGTGGTGAGAGCAGGCCTTGCCCCCCACACAAACTCCAGTTGCATGTTTCATTAATGCTCTGAGCTCAGGCAGGCCAGGGCAGTAGCCACTGAAAGCTATTCACAATGGATGGCACTTCAGGGGCCCTGGTAACTGGAAGTGGTGGATCCACCTCACCAGATGCCCAGTTTGCACTGATCAGCATATTTGAAAGAAGCCTCTGCAAGGAGGCCAGTGGTGAGAGGGCACATTCTCTGCCCCTCCAGATAATGGCAAAACCGCAGAGCATGTGGCTGGTACCTGAGAGGTGTCTATCCTGGGTGCACTGCAGCGTTTGCTTCCCAGTGCTTTGTCTGGCACATCTACCAACCTAAAACTCCCCTGGGGAAACCCAGCGGTGCAGGTGTAACCCAAAGCTCCAGGACATGGGCCCTAGCTTTCCAGAATGACTAAGGTGAATTTTAGAAGAAGCCTTTCACACTGGGTCCCAGCTTGATCAACCAGGAATCCCAGCAAAAGTCCTAAGCCTAGCACTCAGGCCATTGGATCAGAGGCAGCCTGGAGTGAATGGGTGTAACTACCTGGGGGAGCGTGGGTCACACTCAGCAGTGACTTCCGTGCTGAGGAAATTGAATGTGTCCTGGACACCTTGGACTTGTCGGAAGTGAGGTCCCTGCCCCAGAGTGCTCAGTGGACAGTGCAAAACGGGAGGAGCAACAATGCAACAGCATTTTAGCATAATCCTGCACATATCCCCAAGAGCAGGAAGAGACGCCAGCAGGGGGGTGTGAGGTAAAGCAGGCTTCAGCTTCCATTCCATCATCTCTGCACTTCAATTACTGCTTTGGTGACATCTACTTGCAGCACACGTGCTGTTCTGTCACTGCCACCCACTTTCTTACCCGTCATTTAAGACCCTACTATAGAGTCTGAGAGCTGTGATAGTGCAACACTGATTTGCTCTCACGCCAGTGTGATCATTGTACAAAGTAGTAATTGTGATAAACTGTTGCACGTGTAGCCCCCTTGTCTGCCTTTGCCTGGCACGTGAGTTAAGCCTCATGGCTCCTTGTGTGAGGCAGGCTATCCCAGGGCCGGATTAACTTTTTATGGGCCCGGCGCCAAACATATTTGTGGGTCCCCATGGGGGAAGGTGCAGGGTGGTGGGATGCTCAGTCTCCAGAGTGAAGGGCAGGCTGGGGGCAATGAGGCACAGTGTGGCAGGAGCAGCCCCGCTCCACGCAGCCCAGTAGGAGGGCACTGTTTAGAAACCTGCAGCTGCCAGACGCACACTGGTCTGCCCAGCCCTGTGTTGCCAGCGGGCCCATTCCCCTTGGGGTGGGCCCTGCACCACACCGCCCCTCTGCCCAGTGCCCCGCCCTTATGTCCAGCGCCTCTATGACCAGCCCTCACCCCTCCCAGAGACCTCCCCCGCTGGCCTCCCACCACAACTGCACAGCACCCTGCACACCACACTGCTCGCCCTGCGCCCCTTGCCCATAGACCTCCCCACTGCCCACCACCTTCCTCACAGTCCCGCCATCACAGCTGCATAGCACCCCATATTCCTGAGGGGATTCTGCACCAAAAAATTAAAAATTCTGTGCACGGTATTTTAAAATTCTGCAAATTTTATTTGTCAATAAATAAATCTGGAGGCTCCAACCTGGCAGTGGAGAGCACAGGCCACTGGTTGCATGGAGGTGGGAGATCACCATGCAGCCTCCCCCCACCCCACCCCGGGATAGGGACTCAGCAGTGAGGCTGCACCCGACCATGACACAGTGCAAGGGCCAGGCCTGCCCCAGAAACACTCTGGGCCCCTGCCCCCATGTGCCAGGCGCACCAGGTGTGGGTGAGCAGGCTCAGCCCGCCAGCAGGATCCCAGTGCAGAGGGACTTAGTGTGGGGGGATCCAGGTGGGGATAAGAGAGTTCTCTGGGGGGCAGTCTGGGTGCGGGTGGCTCAGTGGGAGATCTGGATGCACAGAATCTCATTGGGGGGTTCCAGGTGCAGGGGCAATGGGACTCTGCAGGGGATCCAGGTGAAGGTGTTTGGGGCTAGTGGGGGGGGTCTAGGTGCAGGGGAGGTGGAGTTTATTTGGGTGGGGGTCCAGGTACAGATGGTTGAGGCTCAGTGGGGAGGGTGTCTGGGGGGGGCTCATCAGGGTGGTACAGATGCAGGGGAGGTGGGGCTTGTTAGGGTGAGGGTTCGATGGGCCTGCTTAACAGGGAAGCCCCGGCTTCTGCCAAGGTGATGCAGCATGCTGGGCTCCAGCTCCCGCCATCCTCTTCCCTTCTCCTCCCATGCTCCTTCCCCACTGCTCCATTTCCCCAGGCTTGAGGGCAGGTAGGAAACCGCCCCCCAGCACTCACCGGTGGAGTGGAGCGGGTTGGGGCCGGGTCACTTCACTTCCTGCCGCCCGATGATTTGGAGGGCGGGCCCGACCCCGCACTCACTGGGCAGCAGGAAGTGGAGTGACCCGGCCCCAGCACCCTCCTCTCTGCTCCCGTGGCTGGGTGCGCCTGATCCCTGCTGCAGTCTCCCAGGGCGCTTAGCTCAGGGGAGAGGGCTTGGGGGGCAAGGGGCGGAGCAGGGGCGGGGGCAGCTTTCCTGGCCATCTCAGCCGGCCGGGGGATTGGGCTGGCCGGCACCCCTTCTGACTCTGGGCCTGGCGCCATGGTAAACCCGGTACTGCTGGGCAGACTAGGGCACTGAAGGGTTAGGGCCATCCCTTAGCCCATCGCGAAATCAGGCTCCAGGTGACTTGCCCAAAGGCAGAGAGTTGAAATGAGTCAGGACTAGAACCCTGAACTCCCACTTCCCTCTCCGCAGCGCAAAAGTGGCCAGACTGGGTCAGACTCAATGTCCAGCTAGCCCCGTCTCTTGTCATCAACAGCATGCAGTGCCAGCTGCTTGAGAGGGAAGGGCAGGAATCCCTGGAGAGAACAATGTGGTGTAACCTGACCATGGGGAAGCTTCTTTCTGACTCCCTTAAAGGTGGTCTCATGTCCTGAGACAGGAGGGTTTCTGACCCCTCTATTTTGTAGCCCATGTAATGGGACCAGGGACATGTCGATTCATAGAAATGTCCCATTGGGATTTTGTGTAGGGCAGTTTAACCCTACAGAGCCCGTACCTACTGACCAAGTCCCCTCTCCTCCTTCGTTGCACCTCAGATCACACACTGGCTACTAAGGGAGCAGCATTGATGGGATCCAGAGGTAGCTCCACCCAGCCCTCCTGGCTCTAGTGATGGCTGCTTGGGACAGAGGATGGCTGGGCCTCGAGAGCAGCGTATGTGTGGGCAGGGGTCCGTTTGGGCTGTGGTAGGTGGACAGGATTCTGGTACTTATTTCCCTTCGGCAGGTAACACACCTGTGCTGGGTTCCTGCAGAGCCGTATGTCATCCAGACGTCAGAGGATAAAACAATCAGGTAAAGCCTAGCAGTGGGGACCAGCTGCAGAGGTGAGACTTGGTGTATTCAGGAGAACGTGGGTGAGGAGTCCCAGAGCTTTGTAAAACCATCCCATGGACAGTGCTGGTGATTAGGCCTGTTGGTGGGATGGGGGCTGCTAATGGCCTTGGACTGCAGAGCTGCTCACTTGGGTCCAGAATGAGTGCCTGGGCATCCCCAGACCAGTGCACTATGGTTGTCGGGCGCCTTTCTCCTTCACTGGGTGGGCGGCAGTGGCATCTTTCATTCCTCAACCCATTTTTTGGCAGGCCAGGTGTCTCTAACCCTGGTGAGGAAGTAGATACACCAATAGAGTACTTCATTACTGCTTGAATTGGGGTAATAAGGAGGTTATTGTTTGGAGTCTGCAGCACAAACCACAGTAGGGAGTGGCTTTCTAGGTTAGTGAAGTTGTCTCCCAAGCTCTGTTGCTAGAAGCAAACATACTCATATTTCGTGGAGAGCATGATCTACGGTGGGGTAGCACATGATCAGGGCACCAGTGCTGTGAGCAATACCGCTTGCCACTGGGTGGAAGCTACGTTTGTATTTGGCATGGCTTTGTCATCACTGATCAATATTATTACCATTGCTGGTAAGTTTGTAGACAGCGTGCGTGATACGCAGCAGAGCAGGAGGGTGACCAGCTATAAGAGGAGCAGTGTCCAGGGCTACCCAGCCCTCTCCCAGGCAAAGGGAGCCACCAGCAAAGAAAAGAAACCGGCATTTCAAAGTGGCCAAGATGGAAATCCCCATACAGCCGAGCTACAGGGTGGGAGATGGATGGGGCAAAGGGAATGGGGTTGAAAACACGTTGTGGTCTGAAGGGGGAAGTGTTGTTGTTTAACATGAGTATTTCAGTAGCTTCTCCTCAAGGCCCCAACCAAGACTGGGCCCGTTGTGCTAGGCCCATGGAGCTTGCAGGCATGGAGGCTAGATCTCAAGGGAGGAATGACTCTAGCTTGGGTGGAGGGAAGGAGGGCTCTGGTTCACACACGTGGAACACCACAAAGAACTAGAGAATTGGCAGGTCTGGGCCAGAACATGGGGATGAGTCATGGAGCTCGGTAACCCTTGAAATAGAGGAGAAGAGGCCCAGGCTGGAGGTGTGAAGAGATTGGGTTGTGCATATTGTCATGAGCATGCATCAAAATAGCCAGCTTGCATTCTCTTTTGTAGATTCTGCCCCAGTAACTGGCCAGACGGTGCGAGGAGTTCAATCACTGTATTAACTCTCCCTCACTTGTTCTTTTTTCCTCCTTTCCAGGATCTGGGACAGCCGGGAGCTGCAGGTGGCCCATAGGTTCCCGGTAAAGCAGTATATTCAGACCTACTGTGATGTAAGCCAGGATGGCCGGTACTGCATCAGCAGCAGCAATGGCTTTGGTGGGGAGGGCTGCGAAGCCACAGTGAGTTTTCTGGCTGGGCAGCGAATTGCTGCTTGTTCTAGATCTCTCCAGAAATTGATACCTATAGATGGTAACCTGTCTCACGGGCAGCAGTGCTTAGCGGGTTCACCTTGGTGCTCTGAGAGCAATCCTGCCAGGAAGTGCAGCCTGTGCGCTGGACTGGCTTTAGCCTTGGTATTACCTGTCCCTCACCAAAGGCTCTTACGTAAATTAAGTTGTCATAGGATAAGAGGGAAGATCCTTTCATGGATTGAGAACTGGTTAAAAGACAGGGAACAAAGGGTAGGAATTAATAGTAAATTTTCAGGATGGAGAGGGGTAACTAGTGGTGTTCCCCAAGGGTCAGTCCTAGGACCAATCCTATTCAACTTATTCATAAATGATCTGGAGAAAGGGGTAAACAGTGAGTTTGCAGATGATCCTAAACTGCTCAAGATAGTTAAGACCAAAGCAGACTGCGAAGAACTTCAAAAAGATCTCACAAAACTAAGTGATTGGGCAACAAAATGGCAAATGAAATTTAATGAGTATAAATGTAAAGTAATGCACATTGGAAAAAATAACCCTACTATACATACAATATGGTGAGGGCTAATTTAGCTACAACTAATCAGGAAAAAGATCTTGGAGTCATCGTGGATAGTTCTCTGAAGACGTCCATGCAGTGTGCAGCGGCAGTCAAAAAAGCAAACAGGAATCATTAAAAACGGGATAGAGAATAAGACTGAGAATATCATATTCATAGAATATCAGGGTTGGAAGGGACCTCAGGAGGTCATCTAGTCCAACCCCCTGCTCAAAGCAGGACCAATTCCCAACTAAATCATCCCAGCCAGAGCTTTGTCAAGCCGGGCCTTAAAAACCTCCAAAGAAGGAGACTCCACCACCTCCCTAGGTAACGCATTCCAGTGCTTCACCACCCTCCTAGTGAAAAAGTTTTTCCTAATATCCAACCTAGACCTCCCCCACTGCAACTTGAGACCATTGCTCCTTGTTCTGTCATCTGCCACCACTGAGAACACCACTTCTAATTTGTCTAGGTCCCTCTGTATCCGATCCCTACCCTCTAGTGTATCTACCATGCCTCCCAGTTTAGTGTCATCTGCAAACTTGCTGAGAGTGCAGTCCACACCATCCTCCAGATCATTAATAAAGATATTAAACAAAACCGGCCCCAGGACCGACCCTTGGGGCACTCCGCTTGAAACCGGCTGCCAACTAGACATGGAGCCATTG